TCACGTTGCCTTTATGTTAGCCTTTATGACACACGAACATCTTAATCATAAACAGTGCGCAACAATGATTTGTACTGTAGTGGCCGGTGAGGTCAGGGTTCGATCCCAAACATAGGTACTGTGTTAAGCAAAATGAGTACACTATGTCTTAGGCTCATTTCTGGTGTCCCATTGCTGGAATATTGCTAAATGTGGGGTAGAGCCCAACTCACTCTCTCACTCACACAGTCCTGTGCCAACCAAACAAGATAGCAACTACTTTGACTAGAAGAAACACTTTATGTTTCCACTCTTATCAATTTCAATATGTTGCATGGTCTCTGCTCCTGTTTGTATCCTACTGTTTCTATATATTCTAATATACAAATGACATATATATTTTACATTTCAGTCCCGTTAGATGAAATGCTTATTTGGAAGAATAAGAATGTCTGTTGTATTCACCATGGCTAACTGAAGTGTTCGACAGAGTATTTAATTTGATACCACTGTTTTATCAGTGACACCACTGTTATAACATGTTAGTTATTTTAACGTGGGAGAGGAACTGACCCAAGTAGGTGACATCTTTTCCTTTAGTGATACCTACCGGGAACGGGTAGTTTGTGGGGAAAAAGAAAGAAAAAGAAAAAACTATTGAAACATGAATGCACAGCCACAACCAGCGGTTTCTGACAGACAGCACAACAAACCATTGCAAGTTTCGTCCTACATGGCTGAGTTTTAAAGGATTAATAGATTCAAGTGGTATCCATTGTTCATGTTTAAAACCCAGCATCTTTAAAAATCGATAATCCTTAATGTACATTACATCAGTTTCAAACAATGGAAATTATTTTTTAAATTAGGATTGGAATCTGTTTTCTTGCAGTCCCGCATGGCCTACACATGAGGAGCAACCAGTTGATTTTCGAGGACAGAGGTAGGGATAGGGATGCAAGAATGGGGAGTTGGATTTTTAGATCAGCGTTCTTTGTAAATGTTCATGAGCATGTTTTGTCCAATACAGACAATCACGTAGTGATATTTAAAATTATCAATAACGAACTGTTTTCTGTGGTCACTTTGATGTGATCCGTTATAAAAGAGAACATTAATGTGTAGGAATTGTAATGTCTATGGCCGTAAATCAACTGGCTACTCTCCCATGTACGGCTGTCATTCTCGCAAGGACACACATGCACACATCTATCAAAAAGTAGCAATTATTTTCAATATGATTTTCCTTTTTCTCGTTTAGAATGCAACAGAAAAAAAATAATTTTCATTTGGTGTGATTGAATAAAACCACCCGTCTGATTGTGTGAGTAGTATAACGTAAAGATGTTTCGTTTATAGCATCGCACGTCAACTTCATAGGAGGAAAGCTTAAAGAGACCAGTAGGTACCCAAATGCCCTTTGAAGCCAATCGTGAAGATACCATATGAGCCCATAGGTAGCGGATCATGGTAACGAGGGGACGCAACTCTTCGTTACCCTCGACCGCAGGGTCACCCACACCACCCTTTCACACAACGTCGTGATGACTGCTGAAACCAACATAGCATGGTGGTCATCAAGAATACCACCTTTCAACAAAACATATACATAACATCTGGGCATGCTGAATCAGGACCTTGACATGTTCACAGTAGAAGAACATCCGAAGTGGGTTTCCAACACTCTAAGCTAGGGTAACCTTACTCAGCATGCAGTGTGTTTATGGCTGGACCATCTGTAGCACTGGCATTGCTTGTAAAACTGCCCGGCAGTGCTCGCTACAGATACTCATCTTCATTGCAATCCATACCATCCTCTGTTTGGGAAAGGATTACCATAGAGGTAAAATGAGCAACAAAATCTCGGTATTGATGGACCACTTCTTGGCTGACATTTGTGAGTCGATGAACTGTTTTTGTGAGGTTTTGTTCCAAGCACGATCACTCTGCCCCCGCAAATCTCAAGTTATTCCTTTTGTTAATGTCTCCTATTCTTAAAGAAGCGTCTTGTAGCCATGTGACAGGAATCTCTATTGAAGAACATGTTTGGACAAGTGTTGTTCTGGTGCCCAGTAAACGAGAACTTCGTTATTATGGCATAAGCTGCTCCGACATTCAGTATACTTTATGCAAGTCTATTGACAGGTTATAAGAGGTTCTGCTGGCTGGATTCAACAAGAAAAAAATAGTTGTTACACTTGTTTGTATTCTGATTGTACAGTTAGATAGCTGCATATTGGATTGTGATACAGTGTGTAAACATGAGCAAGATATCAAACATATGATTCATATCTGTAAATTAATTCCTGAGTTGAAGTTGAATAAAAACTTAAACAAAGACACACGAAAACGAACAATAAGTTTCCTAAACAGCCTCAAATATGTTACCCGAAAAAGTAAAAGTGGAAGTTTAATAGTCAGGGAAGCCTTCAATCGTTGTATGTATAACTGTTGATAAAATGTAACGCAGGCTTTATAAACCAGTAGTAACTGCCAAAGTATATTCAGGCACTGGTGATATCTTTTGATGTTACTTTTTGAAATGTATGAAGATTATTTTAACAAGTTCTAGGAGATAATCGTCATCTATATCACTATTGCCTGTAAACAATAGAGACTGCCCAAGGCAAAGAAAGCCTTCTAAAGGAATCATTAATGAATTTCATAATGCAAAACGACATATATTTCTCACATTTAGTAGCGTGGTCATCAGTTTATACCATACCTGTATCACAATCAGCATTGTACGCAGAATAGTAACTCATTCCTTTGCAATACGTTTCCAGCAGCAGCATAATGCCAAACAAACGGAAGTATGTAACTCCAGGTATATGCTCGTGATGTACTGTTGCCAAAACATTCTCCTATTATATTGCAACATACATAAACCATTCGTGTAAAGGTATTGTCTTCATTGGCCTCTTGACATATGTGTCTGTTGTGTGCAGAATTTCTATCAAGACACTGACAAAAGCCTTGTTTCATTAGAAATTATCGTATTAGACTCTTAGAAATGAGACTCAGCATCTTTGCTATTACCGACGACACGTATTGCATGTATAAATCATTTCATCCTGACTTCAAACATAAATAAGCTTTTCCGAAGAACCTCTTAGATCTACTCCAGTCCATTTGGTTAAAGTTTTACCTCAACGTGGCTATATGTCCGAGACTACAATTAATGTGAACCTCCCTTCCTGGCGATAATGGCTGAACCCGTGATGCGCGGTGTGATCTTATAGCAGTAATTGGGAAGGTCTGATTACTCTGGTCACGAAGCAGACCAACAATTCACTGCAATGTTCAAATCCCTTTGCCATTCAGACCACGATGGTAATCGTCTCCAAAGGCTATCATTTAGACACAACGGTTAATGGTAGGAAAATAGCGGCTACAGTGAATCCACTGTCCTGAGCAGAAAGGTCGAGCTGCCGCTCATTTAACATAAAAATTAGTATTCACTCACAGGAACCAATTCACTGGCAATATTAAGGTCGACCTTACTTTGCCGTTAGGTCCATATCGGCATGCTCGTCACGGTGCCAATCATTTTAAGCCTGGACTGTATCATGAAGATCTTAATTGAAACTGCTCAGAACAAGGAGAGGACTACAGAGATTCCGTGATCTACTGCTCTTCTCTTGTTGACACAAAGGTCCAACCAGGCTTAGCTGTCCTGTGAGAAAAAACTACTCATCCCTTTTGGGTTTTATCTTTGTAAATATTTGTGTGGTGTTGAAGACCTTGATGCATTTGAACGTATTTTGGTGGTTTTTTTTTCTATAAGCCCCCAAAGGAATGAGAAGTTGCATGAAAGAAATAATGTTGCATGTGAATTAATGGATTTGTTTAAATATTAATTCTTTTGAACTGTCTCGTGGGTGTCGTGGAACGATGAACTAGCATCGGGTTCCAGGAAGTGATGTTTGTACAGGGGCTGTTGTAGATGCCATACTGTCACTTGGAACTGTATTCGATTTGTGAAAAAGAGGCATGAGTTGGTTAAACGCCTATGTCAAAAGTATTTGGTGTATATAATGGAATGTGAGCTTAGGAAGGTTTTGTATCGCAAAGAATACTCCAATCAGCTGCACCAGCATACTGGTGAGTGGATGAGAGTGTTTTCACTGCCCATTCAACGTGCAAAGGGACAAGGGACACATGGGTAATGCTGATTTTGGGTATTCTTGAACTCCTACATATAGCAATGTTCCATCAATACGACGACGTTGCACGCCACACATGTTCTTCACACATTGTACCCATGAGGAGGATCGAACCTGATCCTATACCGCGAAGAGCGAACGTTTAATCACTAAGCTAACCTACGACCCCAAAGATCATAGACCAAGGATCAAGACGGGCTGGGTTAGATATAGTTTAGATATAAATACATGTAATTAAATGTTTGTATCATTCTCTAATGACACCCTTGTATATATGAATATGTATGTACATGTATATTGTATTGTACATTATCCTGCCTCAATTATATCTCTCCGATGCCATCTTGGTGTATATGTGTATATAATGTTTTTCCAGTTCACTCATGTACAACCGTTGGGGAAGTTGAGAAAATAAAAACCTTCGAAAATCTTCGTTAAGTCAACCATCAGTTAAACTATAGCCCGACTACAGACGCATCTCTGTATGTACAGCCCAAGCGCCTAAGATCACTGGGTCTAACAAAGGCTCAGATGTACTTGGTACCTATATGGATTTCCTTGGTAACTTAGGTCAATTGCTTCATACAAGGAATTTAAACAGCGTCATACATGGAATCGGGCCAGCATCACACCATATCAAGATGCTTCATTCTGAATGCAGACACTCTCCAGATGTCGTGATTGATAAGAGTTTTATACCGTTTTAAAGCAATATTTCAGCCAAGTCACGTCGGTTCTCAAAATGAACGAAGTGGGTGTTCTTTTCCAAACACTAAGAGTACACGAGGCATATGGATTCGGTAATGTAACAGATAATTAAACGTTGATCGATGAACCTTATTAAAAAGAAAGTCATTTTGAAATTTAAAAATGTTTATTATATGTCGTTTTAACAAGATGCAATGTACCTCGTTTGGCCCACACACTTGAAAGTTGACTGATAATGATATCAAACACACGCATGCGCAATGCTATTAGCTCACCTGAATACGACGTGTGCAGTTTGGAAGATCATAAAAATATTTTCTTGGTAGAAAATTCATTTGATTGTCTCAAAGACGAAAACACCACCTGTCATGAGACTACACATGCGAAACAGCGTGACTAGAACTGTTTGATATTATTTTAATCAGGTGAGTCACAGCGGGTCACGAAGGATTGACTTTCAAGGATATTGCACTTTTTTGGCATATAATTGGAAATAATTTAATGAAAACGGTAATGAAATTTACAAATCTTTTGTACATAGTAAAACATATTAAATAAACTATATTAAATGCATAAATTACAAACCATAATGTTTAAACAACGACAAGATACTCGCTACCTACTGTAGATCATATGTTCAATTGATTTAACCAAACTTCGTATCACAGCCGATTGCTGAAAGGTCTTCTCGAGTTGCATAGCAGTGCTAACTAATGACAATAAACAAATAAATAACAACAAAGCAGTAACATTGGCGAGTTCATGCATAGTTGTGTAGAGATGAAAGGCACTTATATGGAGGTTCATTTTCTGGCAGTCCGGTCTTACCTCGCCAAATGGCAAGCGTCCAACAGCACTAGCGATAAATAGGTATATCGATACAGATGATGGCGATAACGCTATATTCAGAAGGGTGTCATGTTGGTATGCATAAGTCAAAAATGGTTCAATTCCAGGCCAACCAGAGGAATGGTTCTCAAGAACATGCGTGCCAGTTTGTGAATTTGGAACTTTGTCTGAACCCAAATGACCCCTGAATATCGATGTCAGATTTACAAGGAACACATACGTCGATTACGTGTTCACCGACCTCCAAGGGATTCAGCCTGGGCATTTACAATGTTAGGACGTTGAACCTTCTAGGTCTTTGGTACGAGTCTACACAACATTTGCAGAGAAGAAAACAGAACACACAGTGACGCATATTTGACCGCTGGGAACGGAAGACTTTGTCACGAGCGCCATGAATCAACCTTGAACTGCTAACAGCAGTTGCAAATATTTGTTTAAAATGATTAAAGTTTGCATAGTGTCCAAAACGCCAATCATAACATTTCGAAGTAATTTTACTTTTATGCTTTTATCGTTTCGTCACATTCCATGAAGCCAATCTTTACAGCTATCATTTGACATTTACGTTATTGTCCAGAATACCAATGATTTTACGCCAAGAGGCGTTGAAAAAGATCCTAAAGTATTAACTTGATATATTTTACACCAGTTTGTATCAGTGCCAAAACTGTCTCCATTAATAAAAACACGGGATTTCCCAACAGCATCACAAATTTGTTCACGAAGACCCGTCTCTGAGAACAAGTTATTTTGCGAAAATGCTCTTGCATAAATATTGCACGTTTGAGTTTGTCTCAGTAAATTGTACAACACGCTCTCACAGTTCAAGGTTGTCGATCGCCGGTTATAACTTTGTCAATTTTATTTAGTAGTTAACACATATTTCGGAACAAATCAGAAAAACGACAGCAATGTTGGATGTCATTAAGCAATAAACTAGTAAATGAATTTAAGCAAATGTAGATGAGCTATATGTCGGGCAACTATGAAGAAATAATGCAAAAGATAATGCGGAAGATAATGAAAGTAAACAGCTGAATAAATTAGTAAAAAACAAAGATAATGCATCTATAACAGCCTTAGATGTTCAACATTCAAAAGGAATTTAGTAAGTATATATAACATACTCTACATAAAACAATGGGATCAATATTTGGGCAGAGATACGATGGGTGATTGAAACGGGAAATGAAATGAAATTATTTCAAGGCCAATAAAAAACATTGCACGTGCATGTGCAGGAGAAAATCACATCAAAATTCGGAAGGAAATGAAAATAATTACAATGAAAATATGGAAATTCAACCACTCTTACCATAAAAGCGTCTAAACACTGACATTATATTATCAGCATTTCCAAATTCTTTTGAAACTTACGAAAGGGTGTTTACAATAATACTTGTTGTTGACAATATATTTAACGATTTTACAAATCAGCGATTTTGTATACACCAACTTTCATACTTTCAAAACATGAATGGCAGCAGTGTTTGGTGATAATCTTGTACATATAACAAATCAAGTTCTTGAAAATCGCTCGAAAAAACATGTATACATTCTGATGCTTTCGTAAGCTCATGGTACTTACATTCCAAAATAACATACTGAATGACATCAGACACATATATTTCTTATCTACGCATTTACAGGGTAGAATGACTAGTTTTCCAAATCAAAGTAATTTTGGAAATCAATAATGTTATGAGATTTTGTTATGAGAATGGCGACTGAAACACACATACTCGTGTATGAACACAAATCACTATCTAACTATTGGGCCACTACTACCGAGGCTAACTGATCTAGTCTCCATAATCCGAGATCTTGCAAAAATATGTTAAATTTATATCGTAATACTCAAGTGCCTGTATATATACACAGCACCAAGTTCAGCTTAGCTGAAAAGTGAACAATCTGAACATAACCAACGACCATGTCCCGTTGCAAGAAAACACTAAACGTCGAGTCCAAAATCTTCAATCACATGTTCTGACCACTCTCATGGCATGAGACCAAACCGCGGGTTCGAACTCCTGTAGGTGGGAATGGCAGGCGTTGTATTTCTTTGATACTACAAATATCAAATGCTTTAGTAATTAGATGTTACAAAAATAGTGTACAGAGATTTAGTGTGTTACAGTTACAATGTATGAAGATTCTGGCCCGACAAGGACTAACCAAACATTATAGGCAATCGCAGTAATTACAGTGTTTCGGAATGGTACTGTCACGGAAGAGATCTGACGTCTCAAATATCGCATGGTTAGTATTATTCGTCGATTACTGTGTTTATAACACTCTATGGTATCTACAAAGGTAATGTGCTGTCATTCATGATTTGTAATCAATAATCAAAAACTATATACTTCACGAAATAAAAACGCAAATCGTAAAGAAGGTTAATAACAAAGCTGCAATATATGCCAAACTAGCTCGGTAACGTATGTACGAAAATATAAGTCAATCTCTAGCACACGTTGTGCATAGCTACTGAACGGAAAGTAAATAGCAAAGTATTATATATGTTGAAACAAAGCCAACCACGCCCATTTAAATCTACATTTGTATACAAAAGACCACAACAAACCAATTACTTTGGCGTCAGGGTAATTAATTCTGGTAGCAGCGGCAAAATGAAGACTAAAAAATTATCTTCATTTTCAACACATAAATACTAGAACTGAATCGATGCTTCGCTAAACGAAAGAAAAAACAATTCAAACGTTTACACATGCTTAGACGCTAACACTGCCACGGGTATGTCAAAGTCACGGTTTTAGATGAAATATGTGACATTATGTTTTACCTGCCTCACTCACTTAGATGTAGTGTTTGTCTAATCCCGTCTAAACAAATAGGAAAATATTTACAAAGTTGTTGCTTATATTCATATTATCTATTTACAAGTCATGGTTCACGTTTTGTTCAACGTGCTGGTATTTGTTGAGCAGAGGTACCCCCCTTAACTGCCATGATCCGCTGCTTGGGGAAACGAACTTCACATTTACAGTGATTTTTGTATAGGATCCCTAACGTTTGGGTGACGTATTTGCTTTCATAGCTTGCAAATGTCAAGATGTTCATTTTGGCCGACAACCGAATCGACTTTATATTCCTAAAAATACCCTTCCAAGCGGCCTTCAAATCCAACCATTTCATTTATTTTACGAAACATTCGACGGACAAGTATTGATTTGTTGTGGTCATAAATATATTAAATTTACTGCTATATACAGGTCAGTATAGGATACTTCCATACTAAGTAAGTGAGCAGAAGTTCGTGAGGTAAACAAACTATCACAACCCTCTCATCGGCAAAAGCCGGGCTCATTTGGATATCGACACAACCAGAATTTAACCCGTCACTTCCCGTAACAGCCAATCAGAGCAATCTTTGTAACCATAGCAACCAACAACAATCGATCACATACGGGGATATCACAATCTGAAAATACGAAGGAAGCATATTTTTTACGAGCAAATTATGATATGCATCTATAAAATTGTATATCATGTTACACTGCATTGTAGGTATTCTACTAATATCTAATTACTTATAAAAAGTGCATTACAGATTACTCCATACTCCCGTTTTATAGTACAAAACAAACCTTAATTGAGAAAGAATTAATAACGTTTCTTAATACGTCAATCAACCAGTACAATTCTCCACTGAATATATTTAAGTTTACTTTAGATTTATAAAAAATACCATTTTATCTGATCTATCACAAACAGAGTACGTATGAGTACCGAATCACAATAAATTGCCACTAAGGAAATTCAGACTAATATATCGCCCAGACTACATAAATATGTCTGTCTCGAATATAAACGCAGAGCAAATCACGAATGAGAGCACATTTCCCTAATCTACTTGGCTTCACCCGAAATTATGGTCACAGGACTACAGCCGATGTTACAGGGTCACCCGGCGCTTAAAATGCGCCAAACCAGTCTGAAAGCCTCACAGGGCTCCTTCGTCCAACAACCATCGGTCGTCCATCGTCCATTGTAAGCGTCATGACCTGATCATGTTGGCCATTTCTACGCACACGGACAGCAGACCACTACGAATTGGCACTGTGGAGTACACAAGGTGCATATGACATCATATCCGTCGGTTCTGGCGTTTACACATCTTCTCCTTCCATATCATGACCGTTGCCGGTAGTGTTTCGAATCTGTATAGACTTTTTGCTTCTGTACATGTCCCATAGTCCAGAAACGATTTCCGCTACAACAATATCACTCGAGTTTTTGCCTATGAGGCGAAGTGTAAAAACACCATCATGTCGAAGGTATTCGATAGTGAATCTGTTAGCTAGCTTTTTGTCAGGACCAGTTCCTAATCGGTCCATGATTTTTAAAAACTTTTTCACATACTGCATCCGTGACGTCGGAAACACCATATGCCACAGCCAAGAGACAAAACTGTAACAGGTAAGTATTGACACAAACACTAACCAAAACCACATGAAGATGTAGATTTTCTCATTAAATAAGTTGATAGGCAGCACACATTGGACGGAGTGACGATGGATATTCTGCATCTGTCTAATGTCAAAGTCACACATTGTCACTCGTGGAAATCGGTGCGAGGCCGTCCACTCATCACCAACGATGAGGTCTTGAAGAACCTGGAATCCATAAATATTATATTCTGTGGACAAGAATTCATTCAGCATGAACAACTGACCAATTGCGTTGGATATGTACATCACCTTCATGAACAGATACACAGCTACCAGATAGTTTCCGTACCGCTTGCCACAAAGAAGAGACAGTTTAGCTGACAAGATGTGTCTCAGTTGTACACAGCAAGTATGCCTACTTTCTCTCTGGTTGTCCAAACACCTGTCAATATGCCTCACCACGTATTTTATAGTCCTTATTCTTATCTCTGGACTTTCATATTGGGCATCACTGGCCAGCCCTACAATCCTGTCCACGTTGATGCCAGACTGACCATTAAGGAGTCTCCATATAATGCATGGGATGTAGAACATGAGTGCTTGGATAAGGAGCACAACTGGTACCCACTGGTAGTAGGTGAGCTCTTTTTCGGTTCGCTTGTGATGCTCAACAGGGATGACTTCATTCATGGGGATGTAATATGTATTGGAGATCCAGCAGATGTTATTAGCGTAGTCGACATGTGCCCCTGTGAACTGGGCAGGGCACCAGCACCTGATTGGGTCGCCTACGTACTGTCGAGCACTCACGACCACCGTGAAGATGATGAGTATTCCTGTTGTGTAAAGATGGTTCACTCGGTCAATCAGATCGTCATCATTGCGAACTTTTACGTTGGCAACTCGTCCTACAGACCCAATAATACTGTCCATCCTGCAACAAAGATGAGAATTCGTTAAAATACCATCGTAGTCTCTGTAGAAATAATCATCATAATAATAATTGCATCAGTACACATCATACAGACATCAACATATCTCGACCCCACACAGCTTGTATTTTGTTAAAATATGCAGACTTACACTGACACATATCTATATATGTGTCACATCGTATTACTCTAATTCACATATGATTAGACTGTACTTGCCAGCAAAACATAATGGTATGTAAACCCGCGTACCATCTCATGGTATGGGTACATGGTAAGTGTTTCGTCCTGGTTGTGACGTCAAATGGACATACTCTGGCATGGGTCCAGTCAAGTGCATGGCACCTGACATAACCCAACACGACATCGTTTGTGATTGTATCAAGCCTAAAATTATCAGCACGGCCATTCCACTCGTTGCCATGGACAACTTGTAGAATACGTTTTTGAAGAACACGTGTAACAGTTCAAAGGTAACCATGTCAAAATGGCAAATACCAATTGTGATACAAACGGGAAGCAACTGATATTTATGTCAACAATAGAGTTCCCAGCATCTGGAATACATTCTCGGTAGGAAATATTGACAGTATTTTCCCCTGCGGTAAATAATCTTGCGGTTATATACAGGGAGGCAAACCAGTTTTCCGGGCAGGTGTTTAGTCTATGATTTAGCTTCATATATACAGGCTAAATATGTCAGATATCTATTTTATCCTTCAGCTTCTACTTGAGGTCATAGACATTTCTTTAGTTCTTTTCCAGGCCACGACGTTGTACCAGTTTCTGGGTTCTTATAACGATCTGACATGATTTGATCAAAGAAAGCTTAAAAAATATTTTTTATTAAAGAATTTGAAGATTGTTCAATCAAAAATGAGTTCAGCAAAATGCGTATTAAAGACGCGAAGTACCCGTAGCAGCAAATCCTCTCAGGAAAAACTTGCCAGGCACAACGCAATAAAGATAAAGTGAATTGCATTAAAGAGTCCCATGGTTCATATATAACGGATTTTGCTGAACCTTTCCATATTTCTGAAGATTTTAAACCAATGAGTAATGACGTTCGGTAACAATCGGATAAAACAAACCGAGTTTCTTCACAGTTACCACATGGGTATCAGAGCAACACTGATCGATAGTGACAGTTATTGGATAAGGCATTTGCTCCAAACCGACAATCACAGGCGAGAATCATTGACTAACTCGGTTGTTTGGAGCGCTCCGAGCTAAAATAATAACGAACTAAGACAAGTAAGATTGGGTTATCTAGCAAACAGGTGCTCAAAGTACCAGAGGCCTTTCCCTCATCCTAGGGGTGTTCACATACCACCTTCTGAGATCCCGTGAGACAAGAAAGATCATGGCTTCTGCCCTTTGCTATTGTAAACGTATAGGATGTTTGGGGCTTCTCTTGGCTGGTACAAATACCAATATTGCTTTCATATGGTAACTGACATTAGGTCGGGTGATGAAGAGAACCACTACATACACACAGGCCTTTGTGTAAAATTTCTTCTTTGAGGACATAAGATGTACACATCATGATTGTTAGACCCAGGGTTATCAGTAATTGAGAAGTATGATGTATGAATATCGAAAAACTAATCACCCGAATGCGACACATATTCGGAAGCTATCGCTTACTTGAACACTTCGCACGTTGTATAAATTACACCAGATCAACAAAAGCCAATAGAAGACACTGTGATGATTTCAAAACAATGGTATGTTTGTCTACAAAACACTAACCCGTATCTTACTTTAAAGACAAATCTCGATAAGGCGTTTATACCTCAGCTGTGTTTTTACCGGTGGCGAAACTTTAGAACACGCGTGAAAACTATTTCTCAAGCTGGGGAAAAGCCTCATGAAGTCGGTCGACGGTAGCTGAAGGCTTGCTATTGCGAGGCATGAGGTAACGAGGAGGGATCCTCATGCATGTTCGTAGCAAGAGGTTTAGCGAGGATCTGAGATGACTCATCGCCACGGGAGTGGAGCATGGCGCAATCCGTGATAACAAACGGAATATTTCTAATACGTTTTCTACAATGCATGTGAGGGGCCTGGTTGATTCATTGGATACCGTAGGAGTAATGAATGGAATAATTGGGATAGGATGTGATACATCGTTGGTTGTACACCATACAAGGGAGGTATGATCAGAGGTTAATACTCATCATCTATGCAAAGTAGATGCAGTTGAATGTATTTGCAAATTTAGAAAACAATTTCCTGGCCGTGTATTGAACCGAGGTTAAATATTGATTAAACAAAGCATATAATTGTAAGCGATTCCCTGATATGTTAAGGAATTACTATCTACAATTCACAAACAAGGAAATTATGTTATGAAGAACAAATAATACATCATGCATCTACTACATAATATCAAAACTAATACAGAAAACCATAAACGATAACAAATAAAACAACAAATACAAAAGAGGGAACGAGAATAAAAAGGAACAGCAAACGATGCGTGTGTTGACACTTACCCTTTACAAAGAAAAGCTGACGCGAAACTTTGTATTCCCAAAATCATGATTCAATTTAAAGCATCCTAAACACAACAAAAGTTCTCATCCAGAAACTATCTGTTAAAGTTACCTCGTGCCGTAATCCGTTTCTTAATATTTCAAAATTCGCCAAGTTTACACACAGCCCCATAACTAGGCTCTCACACAAGGCAATATGGACGCTGAGAGATGCTAGAGTGCGAAACTGCGGAATGTAAAAAAACAGATCCGAAACTGTGGCTTCACGCTGAGTAATATGTTCCGTATTAATTGTTGTGCTTTCTTTATATTCACCCACGTGTGGAAAGTGAAATATTGAGACCGATCTGACTCACGGTTTGTAGGACTGAAAGCGCGATAAGGGAAGGGATTTATGCCCATCGCTCGCTGATAAAGAAGCTACTTCAACGCCTCATAGTTATTTCAATACACGCTGATTCGGTGTATGTATGAGAGGAGCGTTTTTGCCTTTTTTCGATCCGTAAAGAAAGGCGCGCAAAAGATCATGATTGATAAAGCTTGTTATCACATTGTTCGCGATTCAATGGCGTTAACTCAACAGCATAGTCACGCATTAAAATGTCAATATTTTGAAGTCTGCATAAAGGATTGCTCACTGCTGTGACTGTGCCAGGAGCTCTGACGGAGACGTTAGCGAACATTGCATCTACATCAGCGTCTCTACAACCATAGTTTCAGTGTATGGAACGTCAACATAAGCTTCGCGTTATTTCCAATACCACAGCTTCTTAATTCGATAAAACCATGACTGCCTCAGACACAACAAAGGATTATATCCAATAGTTTCTTGGAGGGTGCGCACGTTTCAGGATGAAATGCCTCACTGTTAACTAGGCACTAAGGAGTCCGGTTCAAAAGTGCTCAAATGTAACGACACACGGGCAGATGGTTATCGTGAAGTCACGTGATGAAGCCAAGCATGCAGACAGAGATGGGGATGGGGTTGGGGGTACAGGCGAAGAGAACATGCAGAGTATCAGGTTAGGTCAGCATGCCAGCCTAATGGATGTGTCATAGCGAAAGTGGATTTAACGCTTGCTCGGATATTACACGGGCATGCATGTCTGTGCATTAGAATGCATGTTATGTTTAAACGTGCTCGGGTCTCAGATAACTGCTGTCTGTTTAGATTCTTCTTCCTTTGATAGATTATTTACAGTCCGCTGTCATACATCCAGAAATTGTTGTTGCAACAAACAACATTCACTCAAACATTTGATATACTAATGTTGTATGAAAGAATCGCGAGTCCTTTTATTTATTTTGAGTGGTATACTTCTAGTCATCAGAACTTGTCTTGTTTTGTTCAGACGTTTCTCACTATCTTGTTCCGTTCAGCATTATATTTCGTTTTCAGCGGTTCATTCGTTTGTATTATGATCTGCCTAAATTAATAATTTTGCACTTGAGTTTGAAGATTATTAAGATGCTTTACTGTCTATTTGTCTATACAGACCATCATAAAAAAATCGTCTTACCGCTAGATTCCCATCATTCGTCAGTAATCTATTTTCGAATCCCGATACCGCCTTTCAACTAGCTCGAAGTCATTTACGAAATGTAACAAAATCTCGTCTCATTTGAAACCAATTCTTCCAAAATGGTATACTTGAGGACAACGTCATTTGCCCGGTCCAGACAAAATGACGGTTCTCATGAGATACCACTAAACTACCAAGGACATTAAAGCACTAACAGGGGCCGCCATTTTATGTCCTAATTATGCCTTATCTGAACGTTCAACGTGCAACGACTGCAATAAAGCAATGAAAATAAACTACATTAAACAAAGTGACGGGACAGGACAGATGCATATATTTCCAAGAATTGATTTTGTGACAAAGAGCAGTTGTTGTATATCACCAGCCTACAAGTAGTTACTGATTTGCCCGGATGGCAATGTTGTAGAGCCTGGAGTATTCACTGGTTAAAAGGAATTAGGCGCTTTATAATGCACTGATGTTATTTAAATGAACGTTTATAGGTGGCGTTTACGTGGCCTAATATGTATACCATTATTGCGTTTTGTAGTATGCTGCTGCAGGTGTTTGTGTTGACTGACTGACTGAGTTTGGTTTTACGCCGCTTTTAGCAATATTCCAGCAACATCACGGCGGGGGACACCAGAAATGGGCTTAACACATTGTGCCCATGTGGGGATTCGAACCCGGGTCTTCGGCGTGACGAGGCAACGCTTTAACCATTAGGCTACCCCACCGCCCCGTGTTTGTGTTGAAGAAATGCTGGTTCACACTTGCTGGTGACAACAATTATGACTTAAATGGCACATCAAATATTATTAAAATGTATGTATATACATAAACATAGTTCTATTTATTTCGAAATATCGAAAATGACATTCAATCCATGAACGTTCTCAGATATACTGATGAAAACGTAATGCTATTATTAGGAATGACATATTGATGTTGACACAATTCTACAGCGTGTTATGAACGGTG